TACTTCATGATAACTTCACCGTAGTGTTTTAGGTTGGGAAAAAGAAAAAAAAAAAAAACAACAGATCCGAACCGAGTCCTGAAGCGGACATCTGCTCTCTGCTAAAGGAGTTAGCATGATGCTACATGGATGTAGCAGGCAACTAAATGTTTCCACTTTACAAAACTGTAGATGTTTATACTTCATGATAACTTCACCGTAGTGTTTTAGGTTTATGTGTCTTAATAAGTTTAAACTGTGTCTTTTATTTGACACTAATGTTAAAAATCAAATGTTTGGATATCAGCTAACTGTGGCTAACGTTAGCTTCTCCGTCCAAATTCTGTTTACAATCATTAAAAACGAAATTAAACCAATAAATGAAACCATCAGCTCACCTGCAGCAGCGGGGATGTGTTTCTTTCTTTACTGGGACATAATTATATAAATGTGTTAAAACTAAACTGGACCAAATTTCAGCCTAAATGCAGCTAAATTCTGATTATTTAGCTGCTTAGTTAAAAGCTGACACGTCAGACTCTTTTGTAACGATTTAAATGTTTTTGGTCTCAGTTTGACATATTTTCTTTCTGATGTTGTCTTTTGAGGAAAAGTTGTCCAGGGTTTCTGTCTTTTTATTTATTTTTGTTGTTTCTGAACATTTACAACATAATGTTTTCTTGTTTTGCTAAACCAACAACACTGAACTATGATTAGTGCAAATAGGGTTAATTATAAAGTTACTCAAAAATTAAATAAATAAATAAACGTTGTACTTTAGGCTTTTACAAGCTGTCTGTTCAGTCAGAATGTAAACATAAAATATAGATCTTTCAGTATTTTTGTTTTGTTTTGCACATTTTAATCATCTGTTTTCACAAACCAGATAAACCTGCAAACAGACCTTTAATGATTATTAACTGTTTTTTTATGAAGACTGGTTGAACAGATGTTTTATGTTTTAGTTTAAAAGTCATATTTTTTTCATTTGAGGACACGCTGTGATGCTCCAGATGTTCAGAGTTGAAATAAAAGTCTTTGTTAAAGATGCTGATTTTTCCCTCAGCTGACCTTTGACCCGTCCCTCTGTGGACATGTTAGGTCTTTAGTTTTGGTTTTGTGGGTAAAGCTTCGTTTGATCCCTCAGGATACCAACGATGAAGACGTGTCTCTGTTTGATGCTGAAGACGATGCAGGGAAAACGTCAAAGAAAGGCGTTAAGTAAGTCCTGACAGGTTGATACTTTGACTTTATTCAGTTTTTGATTGTTTTCTGATTTAAACTGTGTTCTAGTTTAACATTTGGGGGAGCTCCAGTGCAGGCGCGTGTGTGTTGTGGGGGACACGGGTGGGAAGGTGCCGTGGTGGAGGTGGGTGGTCTGTAGCACAAAGCAGGGGGGACTTGTCATATTATTTTTATAGACTATTTCAATGGTGAAGCTGAGGTTAAGTCTTTTTTTATTATTCTTTTTCATGGATAATCTGATAAATAAATAAAATAAATATATTTACTCTGTAATATTTTAATGCAAAAAAAATTAAGTGTATGAAGAACTGATTTCTGATCAGACACAATAAAAAATTAGGTTTCTAAAAATGAGTCAAAAAGATTAGACCCTTATTCTTTTCAATTAATAATTAATAATCTACAGTTTGACAGTTGCACTTGGTCAGACTTCTTGAAGTAAAAATTTTTTTTCAGATTAACAAGGTTAATAATCCAACATATTCTGATCTTGTTTAGTATATCGGTCTAAAAACAAGATCAAAAATACTTTTTAGCTGATATAAGACTGTAAAACTTGGTTAGAGTAATAGTTTTCTGCAGTAAAATGACTTTACTGCTCAGAAACATTAAAGGGGACCTATTCTGCAAAATTCACTTTTTAAAGGTTTTTTTTTTAAACTCAACTTTGGGTATGTACTTCTTAAAAAACAGTCCTAGGACCAAAAAAATGCACCCAGGGGCATATTTACTGTAAGTAAATGTATTTTTAATGTGTATTAACGACAAGTTTTATACTTCCGTCATTTTGTGATGTCACAAACTGTACGACAACCCACCAGAACCTGCGTTCAGCCCCTTACCTAGCAACCCCCGGGTGAGGCTCCACCTCCTCAGTATAAAAAGCCGTCATGGTTGTTGTTGCGCAGCTCATTTCACAACAAGCCTCCAATAGGGCAATGGGTAGAGTGTTGGACCAGAGAGTGGGAGACCAGGGTTTGAGACCGGCACAGACACAATTTAATTATTTATTTATTTTCGTTCGTTATGAACACGTTTTCTCATGTACCTCTATTGTTTAGCTTATTAAAGTCTTATTAAAGACTATTTGTTTGAGTTTCTGAGGTATTTTGACCACTGCTGCTCCCTGCTCTGGTAACAGCATGCAGAGTGAGCGCAGAGCAGAGGAGGGAGAGGAAAAAGAAGCTGCGACCACGACTCTGCCTCTGGGTCTCATATGGTTGTACAACGGAGCTTCTGCTATTATTAGCCATGCTAACGTAAACGCTGGCTTTGGAGGGCGGAGTTAATGTCAACAGATTTTTGGAGGGCGTTACCAACAGAGCTCATTAACATAAACAGCTCTTCTGAACGGAAGTCAGAGCAGGCAGAACTAGAAAATAGTAAATTTTATTATCTGAGAATTATTTTGTGCATTAAATTGAATGAACATGGTCTGGATAGGCCACAGACATACCATAAACATTTCTAGGACCCATAATTGGTCTCCTTTAAAAGATTAAATAAGCTTCACTTTAAACCCGGTCAGGATCAGGTTAGCTTCAGAGCACTTGTTACCACAGAAACATAAGTGCCTCGTAGTTCATGTAACCGATTCAAAGCTTAATTAATTCAGGTTTACACCAAAATCCTGGGTTAATCCCTTATCCTAGACTCGTGCAATAGGCCTCAGAGCAGACCTGTTTCAACACCGCTCGTTCCAAAACCAGGTTCTCTGTTGAGCGTTTAAATGAAACTCTGAAGAGACATTTTGTTGGAAGGAATGTGCAACTTAATACTTGTGTTACTTGTGTTAACCTGGTTTTTATCAAACTTCTTAGAGTGTATTTTTAGACTTAAGTGATGAATATTTCTTAGGATCAGCTCAGCACAGCCAGGTGTTGCAAATCAGCTCTAAGACTGACACTTAACAATCACTCCTACACTTGGGCCTGTCACGATAACAGATTTTGCTGGGCGATTAATTGTCTCACAAATTATTGCGATAAGCGATAATATTGCCTGGTGATCATTTTACAACTAATAATTATAAAAGTGTAATATGTAAGTGTAATAAATCAATAAACTTTAATTTTTAAAGAATGTTTAACAAAGTGGACTCTCAGTCTCTAACAAAAATGCACTTGAATAAAAAAAAACAAAGAACAACAAAATGTAAATTAAACGCCACACACAACTAAGACAGTAAATAAACATAAAGAGCAGCATCTCTTTAGAGATGAAGCAAATTACACAGCCTGGTGAGGACCCACTGTTTCTTATGGGGACATAAGCCCAGTTCACATCCCATGTAAAGTGTAGGCTAGGTTTAGGGTCAAATGGTAATAGAAAATACTGGTAAATACATGAAAGTCAATGCAAAGTCCCCATGAGGATAGAAGAACACACGTGTGTCTATGTGTGTGTGTGAGGAGGGGACAGTCAGAGCGCTGCAGGGGAGGAAATCAGACAGTTCAGAGTTTTCCTCATGAGTTGTTGGGACAGCTACAGGCTTTTTGGGTGTTTTGTTAAAACACAAATGGTGCGTTTAAGTTTCCTGTTATTTTTGGGAGCTACAGGTAAAGTCTTGACGAGTTTTTGTCGTGGGTCTGGGGGAGTTTCAGCCCCCACCCCTTCTCCTCCTCTCTCTGTGTGTTTCCCCGCAGCGAAATTCAGTCTCTAGTGCTCCGACACTGCAGCAGCCGCGTTCTGCTTTGAAACGTTTCTTTAGTTTGTTATTGCTACGAGCTCTCACACTAAAGCGAGAGTTGACTCCTCCCACACTAAGAAAACAGGAGAGGAGTCAGCTGAGCTCCTGTGTAGCGGAGCACAGAGAGGGAGAGAGACGAAGTAAACAAACAAGCAGGAAAATGAAACTTATCGTCCTCATTTTTTCTACTGACCTCAAAAAAATGATCGTGCAATTAATTGATTTATTGACTATCGCGACAGGCCTACCTCCACTTCACTTAAAGTAAGACTGAGACGCTTCATAAATGACTTTTACTCTCAGCTTTTAACTAAGAATTATTTTAAACTTAAGTCCACTCTTAGCAGCATTCTTAAGAGGAATTCTAAGAAGTTTGATAAATTCAGGCCCTAAACTGTATTTCTACGTTTCACCTGTGTGATTTGAAAAATACCAATAAATAAATTAGGACTGTGCATAAAAATCAATATATTGATAAGATGAAAAACAAATGATCACAAAGGCCAGAGATGTGTCATAAATCTGTTTCAGGCATCCGGTGGCGTCCTTCTTCCACCTCTTCTTCAGAGTGAGCGCCACCCTCGTCTACCTCCTCTGTGACCTCCTCAGTGCGAGTTTCATCGCCTCCATGGTCACCATAATCCTTCTGCTCTCCTGTGACTTCTGGACAGTAAAGGTTGGATTCTCTGTATTTTTTATTTTTTTTGTGCGTCTTGTAAAGTTTTCAGTGTTGGATTCATGTTTGCGGGTCGAACGCTGGTTTTCAGAACATCACAGGGAGGCTGATGGTGGGTCTGCGCTGGTGGAACCAGGTGGACGATGACGGGCAGAGCCGCTGGGTGTTTGAGTCCAGGAAGGTACGGTTGTGATTAGGGCTGTGTATTGTCAAGAATTTGGCGATACGATACATATCATAACAGAAGGGTCACGATACGATATATCCTGATATATTGCGATACTGTAAGCAAGGCGATATACTGTGATTTTTTTGTCCAGGAATTCTATTAAATAAAATCCTCTTACGGGGAAAAAAAAAGAAAAACCAAAATTCATTGTCTCAGAAAATTCTAATATTACATAGACATACGTTTGATACATTTAGCTGTGTTCTGCTTTGTATGTGTTTTATTTTGTTTCATATTACATCCATGTTTTCAATTCGTAGACTAAATTTGCCAATAAATAGTTTGAAAAAATATTTTTTGCAGCTTTTAGTTTTTAATATTAATTTACAATATGGTCACCCAACACTTAACAATAGCAATAGGCTGTGTCCAAAACGACAGGCCGGGTCCTCCGGAGGACCCAGACTACCCGGTCGTGGCGGGCCGGGTCCTTGGTAGACCGGGAAGACCGGAAAAAAAGAGGCTGTGAATTTGGACGGTCTAGCCTCCCCTCCTTATCCCGGCGTACGTCTTGTCACCTAGCAACTGTGATGACGCTAAACAAGCTAACTTAAATCAAAACTAGAAAAATATCAATACATTAGCATTATTAATATCACAAAACTATAAAATTAACTTAAAGGTATCATTTGAAGAACTAATTGACCCGCTGTAGGTTCATGTTTATTTCGCGTTTTTTATGACGAAAAAATAATATTTAAAAACATGTCCATACAAATGAAAAAAGTATTAGAATTACAACCGCTAAATTTAAAAAATTTTATATCACCATATTTGTATTTAAAATGTATTCTTTTCTCTCGCTTCGTCCGCCATTACTAGCATAAAAAATCTCCGGTCGGGCCGCAATGCATTATGGGATATGCTGGGCCGGGAAGGATCCATCAGACCTGTCCTTTGATTCGGGCCAAAGGAAGGACGTATTTGTCGGCCGCATCGGAGGAGTCTTCGGTTTTGGACATCCTTCGTCGCGGCGCTGTGACATATGCGGCCGACGAATTCGGCCTTCGGAGGACCCGTCCTGCCGTTTTGGACACAGACGTAGAGTAGCCAACTGGCTGGCTCACTGCTGCCAACTAGTGGTCAGAGGCTGAACTACAACATAAAAATGAACGGCTCGCAGGAAAGTTGACATTTTAAACTTTAATAAAAAAAATCGATACAGGGCTTTAGAATATCGGGAAATGAAATATCGCGATATTTCAGTGTATCGATATTTTCTTACACCCCTAGTTGTGATGTTTGACAGCCGTGAACATGTTTACAGATGTCCTGACTGCGAGACTGTTTTCCTGCAGGGATCCGGGAAGCAGCAAGGCTCCGATTCGGAGTCCCGGATCTTCTGGCTCGGACTGATCATCTGCCCCATCATCTGGGTGGTCTTCGCCTTCAGCGTCCTGTTTTCAGTCAAGATTAAATGGATGGTAAGGTTTCCAGTCGCTGCTGCTGCTGCTTTTTCCCGGTGTGTTTCCTGCTTTTTGAGCCATAAAACTGTCATGTTCCCGTCAGCCTTTAGTGATCATGGGCGTGGTGCTGCAGGGGGCCAACCTGTACGGATACGTTCGATGTAAAGTGGGGGGGAAGACCAACTTAAAGAACATGGCCACCAATTATTTTGGCCGACAGTTCCTCAAACAGGTGAGCTGACTTCTGAATGTTCCTGCTGGAGAAGAATCAGTTTTCTGAGCCCTCTCTATGTGTTTTTCCCTCTGCAGGCTCTGTCGAAAGAAGAGGAATCCTAGAGGTTTGAGACGTTTCACGGCTTGAATGCCAAGAGAACACGTTTAAATCTCAACACGGACTAAAACAGCTCTGCTTTTATTTAATTTTTTCCATCTTCCAAGTGAAAGTCAAACATAGAGTTTTATTGCTCAGCTTCAGTTTCTGTAAAAACGCCAACCGGACGGTTGGCGTTTTTACAGAAACTGAAGCTGAGCAATAAAACTCTTTTTTTTTTAACAAACACTTCCGCCGAAATACAAAAACTGACTGTAGTTTTGTGTTTTAGTCTCATAAATCCATCTTTAGTTTTATTTTCTTCATTATGTAACATTAAAACTTTTTTTTTCTGATGGCTCGTATGAACAGTTTTTGTTTCCATAAAAATTGTAACCTATTGACTGTAAATRTGTAAGTAAACAAATTCTGTGAACATTCTTTTGTGCAAATATATTTGCAAACTTTTTAAGTGTGTTTTTTTTTTGTGATTTGACCAAATATATTCAGGTTTTATTTCGCACTGGAACAGAGAAAAGTGCAAGAAAAAAAAACAAAGAAATGTAAGAATCAAACCAGGCCCTGATTAATTATTGAGAATTACTTTGTATTCTCAGCTGTAATAATGAAATAAATCAAACACAGGTGAAGAAACTATAAAATAAAATTATTTTTTCAAGATAAAAGTAAAAAATAAACTAGAATACTCCTTTAATTTGCAGATGACACTGAGTATTTTTAATAATATTTGTACTTTACGACTTATCTGTTCTGAAACTAAAGACTGTCTTTACTATCGCTGTTTCTCCCAGTAATTTAGGATTTTAATTTTAACTAGACATGGGTTTTTACGATGTAAAAACAAGTGTGCATTGCCATGTAGCATGGCTTTCCCTGCAGCATTGGACTTGCAGAATGAGCTTTGACCAGTACAAATATGTTTTCTAAACCAGCTTGTGCCTGTCACGTCAGCAGGTGTTTTTAATTAAGGTAATTGAGTGAAAATATGAAGTTGGAGGAGATTTTTTGTTAAGGTTGCATTTGCTGGGTTTTGAACCCTGATCTCCCACATGAAAGCCCATGGCATAGACCATTAGACCAGTGGAGCTGTGGAAGAAGGTGGTGGCAGGGGTTGGTTTGTATGTGTGCAGAAAGAGGCTACATTGCCAATACAATTATTGACACTAAACTGCATAATATGACAATAATAGAGCAGTATTAAGACAAATTTATATTAAAGCATGATAATAAAATCATATCATGATTGTAAACACTGAACCATTGAGTGTAATGTGTGACAATATAATCTGAAAATATGTGGTTTAAATGAAAGTGTTTGTTCATAGCTGGGATTGAACCCTGATCTCCCACATGAAAGCCCATGGCAAAGACCATTAGACCATTAGAGCTGTGGCAGAGAATGGTGCCAGGGATTGGTTTGTATGTATGCAGAAAGAGGCCACATTGCCAATACAATTATTGACACTAAACACACTGATTATTGAATATGATAACTGAAAATCATAGTTTTCAGTTATCATTGTGCATTGCATTGGCAATGCACACTATTGTTTTCCTGTTTCTCTTTAATATTATTACTATCAGCGTGCATTGCCAATGCAATGCACAATATTGTGATTCGTTCCACATCCAAGTCATCTCAACTTTGCCATGCTTCTGCTCCTGCATACTTTGTCCTAGAGCTGCCATTGTAATTTATATCTGTAAAGCCTCTGTGCCAAATGATGGCAATGACTTTTGATGCCTGTAAAACTTATAGTTTTTGAAATATTAATGTTTAATAAATTATAATGGCAGTCAATTGAGCCTTGTATTTGTCCAATACTGCCCCCTGCTGCATCTACACAATATGGTACTGCACCATAGTTTCACAATATTTAAACTCAGTAGTTCAGTAATTACAATATTAATATGGTTGTATTTTGATGTTTTACTGTAATACTGTCTTTATGTTGTCCTATTGCTGTAATATATTGCACTTAAGTGTCAATAATTGCATTGGCAAGGTAAACTTTTTCTGTATACATACAATCCAATCCCTGGGATTGTCCTCTGCCACATCTCCTATAGTCTCATGATGAGCTCTGTGGGCTTTCATGCGGGAGATCAGGATTCAAATCCAGCTACTGCTACTTTAACAAAAATCTCTGCAAACTTCATATTGTTACACAATTACCTTAATTACAAACACCTGCTGACGTGACAGGCACAAGCTGGTATAGAAAACACATTTGAACTTGGTCAAACTTCATTCTGAAAGTCCAATGCTCCTGCCTACACTGTCCTACAGCTGCCATTGTAATTTCTATCTGTTAAGGTCCTGTGCTAAATGATTGCTTTGCCTTTTGCTGCCTGTACAACTTGTAGTTTTTCAAATATTAATGTTTAAACTTTATTCCAAATTCATAAAATGGGAGTAAATGGGGCCTTGTAATGGTCCAATACTACCCTAGCTGTACTCAACTTGATGCTGCAGCTT